ATCATATCTAACAAAGTTCTATAAAATCTTTCTACTAAACCATTAGCAGCCGGATGATAAGCTGTGGTTTCGATTTTATTTATGCCTAGTAGTTCGCAAACTTTCTTCATTAACTTAGAAATGAAGTTACTACCTCTATCTGTTAATAGATATTAGGATATACCATGCCTAGCTACTATGTGATTTACGAAAGCTTTAGCTATCGTTTCTGATTTCTGATCAGGTAAACATATAGCCTCAGGAAATCTAGTTAAGTAGTCCGCGACTACTAACACATATTTGTTTCCTGCGTAGGATGTAGGCAAAGGGCCTAGTATATCCATATCAACTAGTTGAAAGGGTGTAGTTAAGGTCGGCATTCTTTGTAAGGGTGCATTTCTTAAATGGAGACTAGTTTTCCGTCTCTGGCATTCTAAACAAGACTCGCAGTAGTCTTTAATGTCTTTCCGCATGTTTAACCAAAAGAACCTTCTGCTTATTCTACTATATGTCTTAGCAAAAGCAAAGTGTGCTGCAAAAGGTGTGTCATGGTAAGTTTTCATGACTTTTGTTCTTAGTTTAACTGGTACAACTATTTGTAAAGTCCTACCGTCCTTAACTTTTTTACACAGAATATCTGAATCTATCATGTATTCTGTTTCATTTCCTTGTGTAATTTTACTGCGTAAGTTATTTATTTCTGGATCTTTCTTTTGTTCGCTAATTATATGATCTAAGTCCCAAATTACTTCTGGTTCATTCTCGTGTTCAGATTGTACTTCGTTTATCTGACTAATTGTTTGTTTTTCGACAGTTCCGTCTTTTTCTGTTCTAATTCTGCTCAGAGCATCTACATTAGAATGTTTTTTACCTGGTCTATGTATTATTTCAAAATCATAATCCTGTAATAGTAAAGACCATCTAGCTAATCTAGAAGAAGGGTCTTTTAATGTCATTAACCATTTTAAAGGTGCATGATCTGTAATAATGGTAAACTTTTGGCCATATAAATAGCAATGAAAAGTTTTAATTCCATGTACTAC